TCCACTTTTAATATTTAATGAGTTTCTTAAAAGACTAAGTGATAAGAGGAAGCAGTTTGAGCAGATGTGACCTTTCAATTGGGCTTCTGTAGTTCTTAGTCTTCTGCTGCAGACTTCAGGTGATCTTCTGCTTGCCCACTTAGCCCTTTCTTCACTCTTGTTTTGCTTCTCCTCTTTGAAGCTTGAAGTCGAGCTTTTTAATGGAGTCCACGTGCCTGCACCAACTTTTTCGTCTATCAATCTTAATGAACTTAGTACTGTTTTCTCCATTCATGTTCTTTTTATAAAAGACGAAAAATGAAAGAGACCGGCTTGTTTGGAAGTAGGTAAGCATCTAAAAAGTCATTCCAAACAGGCTCGATAAAACAGATAGATAGCACTTAGAAAGTCGTTTCATACAAGTAATGTGAGATCCTCTTCGGTTGGGAAGGAGAACAAAACATTTTTTATAAGAATGTGGAAACTCATACCTAGCAAACGCATTTTTTAAAAACCTTGAGGATACCTGAAAGGGAAAACCCAAAGAGAACAATATCTACCAGTGGTGAGCTTGGATTGTTACAAATGGTATCAGAGCCAGACATCGAGCGATATGCCAGCGAGGAGGCTGAACCCCAAAGAGGGGACACGAGGCGGTGTGCTAGCAAGGACGCTAGGCCTTGAAGGGGGTGGATTGTGAGATCTCACATTGGTTGGAGAGGAGAAACGAAGCATTCTTTATAAGGGTGTGGAAACCTCTCCCTAGCAAACAGCGTTTTAAAAACCTTGAGAGGAAGCTCGAAAGAGAAAGTTCAAAGAGAACAATATCGGCTAGCAGTGAAGTTGGGCTGTTACAGGTTAGAAAGTCATTTCAAACAAAAGGTCTATTTGAAAACAAGTAAGCATCTAAAAAAGTCATTCCAAATCGAGATGGGTAGCATTTAGGAACTGGTTCCATATAGGTAAATACTTAAAAAGTCATTTCAAACAGAGCTATAAGTGATTATAGAAGGAATTCTTGCTTCTGATTCACTTGAGTGAGCCCATCTGTGAAGGGCAATTTGAGCAGGGTTGAAGCTGCCATGGCTACCCCATTGGAGCAATGGAGGGACATTTTCCACATATAGTAAAGACAAAAAAGAACCAAAAGTGGCTGGAGCTGGTAGCTGATGATGAGGGAGAGGAGCCTGTTTGTTCTCTCCCACATTCAATATTAATATCAGATTCAAACAAATTGTTGAATGACAGTACAGAACAAGAACAATGCAAAAATCTACGGTTGAATGCAAACATGGAAAGATCTTGAAGGGGAGAAAAAAGCTTGGAATACAAATTTGCAAAAGGGAAATGAAGTTGAGCAGATAAAAAGGGTTCCCACCTTCATTTGTTGGATTGTTGCTCCTACTGTACATTATAACTGCTCCCTCCCTATGCTTCCTCATATACTTTCATTTTTATATACTTTTATTCCTTTTTCTGCACTCTCTTTGTTTAATTATTGTAAAGTCATTTCAATGCTTTTGTATGCCAAAAAAATATATATATATATGTTTGTAAGTTGTTCTTCAACTAAGCAGGTCCCCTGTAAAGATGCCTTTTTCCCCCCATCTCATATTCTTTCACCTCTGATTTTCATGCTTCTTTTGTGGATATATAGCATTCTATGAATCTTTTGAAGGGAACTGTTAGGCGCTTCTCTCTCTCTAAACTTTGGCCATTTTCAAAACCCAGACAGTTTTGAACAACTGCCACAAACTCATTGTTCATTTTCTCCTCCCTGATCTCCACCAGAGCTCCATGGTCATGGAAAATGGCTTCTCTTCTCCTCGTAGCGATGCGTTTCCCGTCGGTCTTCGTGTTCTTGTCGTTGATGATGATCCAACATGGTTGAGAATCCTGGAAAAGATGCTCAAGAAGTGCTCCTATGAAGGTTAATTTACAAAAACAAGCCTCTCTCTCTCTGTGTTAATTTGTTACTTGGTTAGTACTATTACAATCCTTGAGGCTGTGAATTGTTTCGGCCTTTTCAATATAGAACTGATAATGATACAGCCCATCTGAAAACATCAAAGCTTTTCATACATATTTGCAGTGTTTTAGATCCTAAATTTTGAACCTTAAAATCCACGAGAAGTAGGATCTAAAACACTGTTTCTGAAACCAGACAAAGATTTCTTTCTTCTCAACATGTTTTCTCCCTTCATTCACTTGAGTTATTCAATCATAGCTCAAGGTCACTTTTATGAGATCTATTACAGCTAAAGCTTGGAAATGAAACTGAAACTATGCGTTTTTCACTGTTTAAGGCCAGTTTAGATGATCCCATTTCAGAATTCAGCTTATTGAGTTGAATCCGATGAACTTTTTCAAAATCAGGCTGAAACACTTAACATCCTGTGTTGCAGTGACAACATGTTGTTTAGCAAGGGAGGCACTAAGCCTGCTTAGGGAGAGAAAAGATGGATACGATATCGTAATCAGCGACGTAAACATGCCTGATATGGATGGTTTTAAACTCCTTGAGCATGTGGGATTGGAAATGGACCTGCCAGTTATCAGTCAGTGCTCTACCACCTTAACTTCAACACTCTTTGTAGTACACTCCTCACTTCTAACTTCATCTCCCTCTGTGCAGTGATGTCGGTTGACGGCGAAACAAGCCGAGTAATGAAAGGGGTTCAACACGGGGCTTGTGATTATCTTCTAAAACCGATACGAATGAAAGAACTTCGAAACATATGGCAGCACGTATTGCGAAAGAAGATACAAGAAGGAAGAGATATTGAAGGACATGATGTTCTTGAAGGGATCCAAATTCTAAGAAATGGATCAGATAGGTATGATGATAGCCAGTTCCTCAGAGGAGAGGAACTATTTTCACTGAGAAAAAGAAAAGATATTGATAAGCATGAAGACAGAGAGTTTTGTGACACTACTTCCACAAAGAAAGCCAGAGTTGTTTGGTCGGTTGATCTACACCAGAAGTTTGTCAAAGCAGTAGACCATATAGGTTTTGACAGTAAGTACAGAATACATCAACTTTCCCTCCTAAAAGAACATCATTCTTTTACAGAACTGATTCTTAATCTCTAATTTTGCAGAAGTTGGGCCTAAAAAGATTCTGGATCTGATGAATGTTCCATGGCTGACTAGAGAAAATGTGGCTAGCCACTTGCAGGTTTGGTTCATGATACTGATCTAGCTAAAATGATGTCTTTTTTCTTTAGGATATTGAAAACTTGGTCGTTTATGCAGAAATATCGCCTCTATTTGAGTAGACTGCAGAAAGAAAATGACCCAAAAGCTTGCTTTGTTGTTGGGATGAAACATACCGATTCGTGTTCGAATGATCGAGACGGGAACTTCAGCCTTTGTAGCTCGTTAGCCGGGCCACAAACTGATGTGACAAACAGCAGCTTCAGTTTTTCAGGTGATAACTTCCTTCTGCAGAATGATTCATCAGAACCAAAAAGAGCTGCTGCTGCTGCTAGGAGTGTTCCTGAACCAATAAAGCTTGCAGCCTTTGATCCCAGCAAGCGAACCTGTTACCCTTGGATTGATGCTCCAGAAACAAAGTTCAAACAAGAAATCAAGCCAGTTGTACATTCAGAAGGAGATTTCAGTCAGTTCCCTGCAACGGTTCTGCCGCATCACGTTCAAATCGACCAACTACAATCGATTTCGTCGATTAGTTCTGGACGGTCAGCAACAGAGAAAGATATAGCAAGCTCCATTGAAAGTAAGCCTATGTATTCTGAGGAGTGTAGCCAACAGATGGTCCATGTAAACCTACCAAAAGTTCCAACTGATCCCAGTTCAACTACTACTACTACTACTGCTGCTGCTACTACACCATTGGGAAAGAAAAACCAGAGCTTAAATCTTAGCAGCATTTCAACTGATATAGGAAGTGGGTTACCCTTTGAATCCTTTGATGAAGACTTGCAGGGATATCTGCTTCAAGATGGGTGCTATCCAAAGAACCTTGATCATCAGCAGATCATAGAGTTTCCAGATTATGGTGATCCAGGCCTTTTCACTGAAGTTCCTGCTTACCTTTACGATGCAATGAGGTTTGGCTATGAGTATTCCTATGACCCAACTGAGTATTATCCGGTGATAGATGAAGGCCTATTTATTGCATGATTATGCTATTCACATACTCCCTCCCTGTATGCAAGGAAAAATGATGTCTTGCTCAATAAGTGAGTTCTTCCTTAACTTAATGGATTGAATATTACCTTCCCAACCTATTGGGATTTGGATTTTGAAATGTGTATATAGAAGTAGTAATGAAAAACTTCTTCCTATATATATATATATATATATATATCAATAAAACAACTTCACATCATTAAACGTTTTTGATAACGACTTGGGTCATGTCGTCCTACCTATTTAAAAGTTTTAGAATAGGTCGAGGCATTGTGTCCCCGTTGCCTCTAATCATTAGCTTTACCCGATAGAACTCGCCCGTGGGTTCCAGCTATCCTGAGAGAAACTTCGGAGGGAACCAACTATTAGACGGTTCAATTAGTCTTTCGCCCTTATACCCAAGCCAGACGAACGATTTGCATGTTAGTATCGATGCGGGCCTCCACCAGAGTTTTTTCTGGCTTCCCACTCAAACATAGTTCACCATCTTTCGGGTCCCGACAGACATGCTCACACTTGAATCCTTCTTAAAAGATCAAGGTCAGTCAGTGGTGCAAACCCACAAAGAGATACCACCAGTCAGCTTCCCTGCGTCTTACGGGTTTACTTGCTTGTTGACTCGCACGCATGTCAGACTCTTTGGTCCATGTTTCAAGATCGGTCGAATGGGGAGTCTACAGGCCAATGTCAGGAGCACGCAAATACTGAAGCACGCCAAAAGGCGTGTGCTGCCAGCCACGATTGGGATGACAACGTCTCCACAGGCGTAACAAAGGCCTCCGCATCGGTCCATGCCCCAACTCGATAGACAAAATTGATGAGTTAAATAGAATGATTAAACTTCATTATTGAGCCAGACGACATTTTACCACAACATTTTTACATGTATAGAACATATAAATTTAAACATGTACAAAAACCTACCAAACCAGGTAATATTTCTCATCATTTCACTACAAAATTTCTGCATATTATTTAAGTACTCCACAAACAATCAGAAAGTGGGCTACACAAAAGCATACTTTTTGGTCATCTGAACAGCATCTCCTCATCACAAATATAGACAACTTACTTTCTAACCAACTTTCTTTAGTTTCATGATGTGTAAACTAAGTAAGTGCATCCCAGCTATTGAGAGGGAGATCAATCAGCTCTGGATATTTGGGGAAAAATTTTCACAGCCATTCATTTTCTTCCCAAGAGAAGTGACTGATTGAGTGGTGCCTTCGTACCTCTTTCTCGTGACATTCTTGAAATCATTGGAAGTGACCGATGGCCTCTTCGGAGGCAGAGAGCTTATATTCTGTACCGTGCTGCTGCTTGCTGCCTTCCTCCCAAGTTTCGGCGATCGAGGTCTCGTGACAGGTATCTGTAACCCAAGATTAATATAACAACACATTCAAAACTCAAGATCACCAGCCATCTACTTAAGCAGAGGAAGTGGGGTAGCATCTGATACCCTTACAGGACATACAAAATACCTTATTAATGTGATCAGCAGGCAATTTTGATCCCTGGTTAGAATCTTGAGTTGCCTTGGCTTCAAAATTTATGCTTTGACGTAATTTAGTAACGTCGTTCTTCTTTCTTTCCTGTATAATTCAAGATGACTTCAGTGGTTTTGTATTGCAAGATAGATCATGTAGTGGAAAGTATAAATGGCCCTTGAATGTATTTGGGGTAAGAAGTTCTGCAATTTCGCATTCATGCTGATCAACATGATAAGAGGTTAAGTGATGTAATAGCTATCAACCTGACATCTTGTTTGCGGTTGCTTTTGCACCGTCTCTTTGGAATTAGCTCTCTCTTCAAGCCTTTGAAAGAACTGAAATAACAAATGAAAACAGCATTGACAATGAGACACATTTTAACCGACAGTATGATAAGAAAAGAGCATTGATCACGAGTTTATAAGTAAGGAATACATCTCTATTCGTATGAGGCCTTTTGGGGAAACCAAAAGGAAAGCCACGAGAGCTTATACTCAAAGTGGATAATATCATACCATTGAGGAGAGTCGTGATTCCTAACAAACGAAAGAGTGGAGCATAATACTTGCCTCTCTCCGTTTTGCCACTCTTTCTTCACTCCTGAAGCTGAAAGGAGAGCATATAAGAGGCGGCCGTTCTTTGCTTACGGTTCCTCCTGCATTTGAAGACTTCAAGCATCTGGAATACAATACACTTGAATCAATGTAAGTCAAGTTCCATGTTATATGAACAGAACGCATACAGAAATTCAGACAGCAGAACTATCATTATGTCAATTAAGTGTTAATCTTCAGTTCATATGAGCTCCTCAAACATTCAAATGGGGCTTGATCAAAGGATAGTCAGAAGCTAAATATACCTTTTATTTTCAAATGGGGGCTTGATTAAAGGTTGCTTTAGCAATCCATTAACAGATGCCTGCAATTGGGATAAACGAATCATCTTAAACACATGTGAGCAAATCATGAACTGAAGAATGGAAAAATTCAAAAAACTTGGCCATTTTTGCAAAATATACTAAGATGATTAGTGAGGAGTTTAGAGCTAGAAGTACCTACCGCTACCCTACCGACAAACTTCCGAGGAGGAGCTGAAGCCTCTTTGGATGCTGCAAGTGAACCCATATGAGTTCTCTTTCTTCCAATTTGTGGAAGTTCAGGACTTGTTTTAGCTATTTCTTTCGGAAAGAACTTAAAGTGCATCGACCTGTGGACGGATTTTGTATTCAAATTCCTGACAATATTCCCGACATGTTTCTTACTCTTTGGAGTGGCATTACCATCCCTGTGTGTGGATTGCAGACTAGAGGTTATAGCTTGTTTGGCAGGAGAGGCCTGAGGCTTTGATGACCAACTTCGAGTAAGTAATTTGGAGGAGTAATTCCTTAATCTTTTCAAGCTTCCCCCTGAAGACATAATCTCCTTTTCAGCAGCTTGCTGCATATTCACAAGATATACACATTGAGATTAATGAGAAAAACAGCTGCAATCAATCAATACACAAAAATATGATCACACTCACGTTTTCGGCCGGTGTTTTCTCATCCTCAGCGACCGCGATTTTCCTGTGGTCGTCATCCTTCTCATTCTGGTTGTCGTTCTCGATATTAGGATCAGTCTCCATGGAATTGTTCTGGTCAAGAACTTCTTCCACCTTGTCTGTTAATGTTTCCACCATAATCTCCTCATTCATAAATTCATGTGAATCAATGGGAGATACAAATTCAGCAGTCTGGACAAAATTCTGTGGTTCAGTAGTTTCAATCACTTGGTTGTTCAGTGTCAATGGTGCAGACTCCACGGTTTCGACTTGATTCGTCGTCACCATAGTGTTTGTATCCTCAAGCTCAGCTGCTGCTTTTTGTGCCGCTTTCCTCTTGTAGTGAGCTTCAAAATACGCCTTCTTCTGAGCAACAGAACCTGGTTTGGATAATTTTTCTAATTCTTCCTGGTAGCGGTTATGAGAAAATGCAGACCATTTCTCCCAAGCAAGAGACTCCGACATAAACCTCCCAAACGAAATGGATTCTCCAAGAGCTCGAATAGGATCTCCCTGTTTAAAACCCACATTCCCAGAAACAAAGTAAAAGCATTATAAGATAAAGAAAACCACAACAAATCATCAAACCCAAGAAATCCTGGAGAGTTTCAAACAGCCGAATCAAGATTTACAGCAATCCATTCCATCAGTAAAAGAAACGAATTCAAACAGTAACGATCAAAGAAACCCAATAAAGAAAACGAAGATCATTTCGTTGAACCGACCTCTTTTGGCTCCCGTGAAGCATCGGAAGGATGAGAGAAGGATCTGCGTAGGCAAGCCGATTCACCCATGTTGCTGCACTCCATAAGAACAATAAATTTCCCAAAAAACAGAAAGAAAAGTCTGTGAACTTCGTAACGCCCAAAAGAAAATGAAGGTTTTGAGTAGTAATGAGGATAATTTGGAGCTGTGAAGCCCTAAGATTTTGTAGAAATGAAACTGCAAAAATTGGGCGTCCGATGCCGCTCTAATCTAGTGGGTCTTGAGAGCTTGTAGAACCGAAATGGGGCCAACAAGATGATTGGTGAAATCAGAGGCTTTTCCAACGTCTACTTTTATTTTCAAATATTCAAAGGAGATTACTTTATTAATTGTGGTCTGATTTTGTAATGCCCAACGGTACTAAGGGGGTTTTCCACATCACAAATTTTAATAAGTAATCAATTTTTGCTATCCTATACGTTCGAATATTTTCAATTCTTTTCCTTTTTTAATTTAATTTTATTCATTAACTAATCGGAATGAATTAAGAAATAATAATAATTGATTAGGTAACTAATTCAAAATTTAATCAAGATTACGGGCGGCCAAGTGGGCAGATAAAGGCAGGAAGGACAGAGTGTCTGTCCACGTCACCAACAATGGAAACTATCGTTCCAACGGCTAACTATCTGCAGTCTGTTACAGTTGTCAATCCGCTCCACACCAATATTTTAAATAAAATTAAAATAAAGAACAATTATAATTGTCTATTTATAATTCACGTTTAAGTTTGAAATTTAAAAAAAAAAAAAAAAAAACTTATTTATTTCATATTATAACTAATTTTTCTAAAGACAGTTGACAACAGTTATTTAAAACATGGAAATAAATAAATTTTAGGAACAGGCCTGCCCATTCAAATGCAAGAGAACAGATCGGCAGAGCAAGATTTGTGATCAAAGCCCGTTGGTGAAACTTGTGAACATTACCACTGCTGTGTGTTCATCGAACATACACCGTATAAAGCTCCCTAATTTTTCAGCTACGAACATTTTGGATTAAAAAAAAACTTTGCTAGTCCACCCTTCTATGTACCTTCCAAAGCTCCCGAGTTCAGGACGTTCGTCGTGCTGCTGCACTTTCCAGCAAGACGACCGCTTCAGTCTCGAGTTTTAACCCTGAAAATGTGGATTAAGGAATCAATCTACCCATCTGAAACTCATTGAAGCTCGTTTCTGAATATTAGGATTAAGGAATAATACTCACTTGGCCTTCTCTTCTGAATTCTCATCTGACTCCTCACCTTCAAGTGAGCCTAATGCAGTGAGTTTGCCAAATGATTCCTTTGCATCTCCAAAGAAATCTTTAACTTTATCAAGAACTGTCTTCAGCTGGTCTTGAGTTGGAAGCTAAGATTGATTCAGAAGCAAACAATGTAAGGAAATTAGACGATCTAGTTGTAAATCTTACCGACCGACACAAGTTACTATGGAGCTTGGTTCGATCGATCAAGGGTTTATTTTTTCGATCCAGAACTTATAAAATCCACCTGAAAAGTCATTCTTACCTCGATTACATCTGTGGTAGAAAGTGCGGATCTCAGATTGCCATTTTCCTTCATGAAAGCATATAATTAAAATTACGTCAATTGTTGTTCATCAGTCAGGCAGTACAACATAAAATATTGTCCTCGTGAATCATAAATACGGGTGTGAAAACATTACGACAATCTTGTAGCCATATCTGAATTCTGTCGCAGTCCGCAACACGCGAAACTGTTTGAACGCCGTCTTCTGTATCTCCTTTTCATCCTATTAATGGGTAGCTCCACTGTTAGTATCTTAAAGCAAGTTTAGAATTGATTATTGTTTAAAGATTGGAAATTCGAGTAATTATGCAAAAACGAACTGACAAGAATGTGTAGCAAAATGGCAACTGATTCCTAAATTAGATGCCAGAGTTCAATCAGAGGTACACAGTGTCTCAATGGTGAGGGCAATACAAATTTTGGATAAGTTATGCATCATGTTTTTCGAATAACTAATAATAAATTGATAAATTTCTTATTTCACAAGAAAGAAAAAATCCAAATTCTATTGATGGCTTTCTCTAGACCTTAAACAACTCCCAAACATTCAGCAATGGCACATGTACTAATATCAACAAAATGTATTTTCGTGAGATCCCACATCGGTAGGAGAGAGAAACGAGCGTCATCGAGGACGTTAGGCTCCGAAGGGGGTGGATTGTGAGATCCACATCGGTCAGAGAGAGAGGAATAAAACATTCTTTATAAAAGTGTGGAAACTTCTCCTAACATACGCATTTTAGAAACCGTAAGGGGAAGCTTGAAAGGGAAAACCAAAGAGGACAATATCTGCTAGCGGTGGATTTGGACAATTACGAATGTATCAGAGCCAAATACCGAACGAGTGCTAGCGAGGACGCTGACCCCAAAAGGGGGTAGATTGTGAGATCCCACATTGGAGAAGGGAACAAAAAATCCTTTATAATGGTGTGAAAACCTCTCCTTAGCAGACGCGTTTTAAAAAGATGGAAAGCGCGAAAAGAAAAACCCAAAAAAGACAATATATGCTAGCGGTGGGTTTGGGGCGGTTACAACTTTCCCTTCTTCCCTTTCATCAAGACTACAAAGTTTTGGATGGAAAAACATAACTACATGCACTTGTGATCGTAGAAGGTTTAAATTTAATTTTCTTCACTTCAATTGAATAGCGGCTTATGACAAGAACAAGAAAATGGAGAAAGTATCTTCAACGATCATCTTCTCTGTTAGACATCAACTTCATTGCAGATGAATTAATAAAATAGATAGTGATTGAACCTTACACGGTAAATGACAGCAGCAAGGTTCCTAGCCAGAGTATCTTTATAGATATATTTCCCCAGGAAATTATCTTTTGCTGCAACCATGATTTTGGCGGTTGTGCCACCATTTATAAGACTCAGAGGGTACCATAGATAAACCTGCATAATAAACGTAAAACGGATGATGATCAAGATATTGAACTTTACAGACTTGATGGAATTTCTATTATTCAGAAAACTCTTTGGAATTTTGAGTTAATGAACTTCTTTTGATGGCATATCACATTACGATATCACTGAAAGGAGATATTATAAACAACAATTTATAGTGTAAACGATGTTATCCATTCAATTAGGGGCCAATAACATGTTCTATGTAGCTCCTAAGTTCAAGGAATAGTGAGTAATTCTCAAGAGTAACTCCCAAGTCTCACCATTCTACGATGTTCTCAGCAACAACTCCACAAGGGGAAAGAATCAATCAACAGAAAGAAACCAAACTGAAAAGGTAAAATCGAAGCTGTATTCAAAAGGATGGAGAACAAACATCGGCCGTGCGGATGAAGATGACGAACTTAGGGTTGCCGTCGTCTTCAATCTTGGGTAGCGGTGGAGGCGCAGCCTTTTGAAACCGACGAGCTTGCATCCCCTTTTTGCCTTTCGCTTCGACCACAAAAGTGTGGCGATGCCTCCGCTCAGGCTTCTGCACCGTCCTCGACGAGAAGAGCGAGTGCCGGACCCGCCCATCTTCGGCTAGCTTCGAATTCGAAAGGGGGAGTCGAACCAGAGCGTTGAGAGACATGGCGACCTCCATTTTCGCGATCGGATTTGGTCTGAATCAGGACTGAAGTGGATATGGGCATCGTAGTTGAGTTGGGGGCATGGTCCTTCTCGTGGAATCTTATCCACCAGTATCACGGTGGGGACACCAGCAATCTCCGGCCATTCAAGTATCAGTTTGGAGGACCAAAAGGTAATTTGACGATAACTGAAATTTTCGGGAAAAAAATGAACCCGACGTGAATCGAACACGCAACCTTCTGATCTGGAGTCAGACGCGCTACCATTGCGCCACGGATCCCTTTATGGGTTCGTTGCATCTGTTACAATAAGATTACTACGACCAAGCCCAGCCCGACAAGTTTGGGCCGCAGTGAAGTTTGGCCCAAATACAACAAGATCAATGAACCAAATCTAGCAGAGAATAAGTGCTCAGGCCTTCAAATCCAATACAGGCTCGGAGAAAAGAATTAAGAGATCATACATTATGGATTATACTCGATATACACAAAAATAATACAATGAAATTCCGCGTGAACAACAGCTTGAAAGCTTAGAATCTAAAATTAGTTAATTAACTGTCTTTTATTTAAGGTTTATTTAGACTACACGTGACAAACCTTGCATTAAAATTTTGTTGGGTCATATATAAACGAATATTGTTGACTTTTCAGGGGAAAAAAAAGGTAATTTCATAGGATATAAGTTGAGTTGGTATTTTCTATATAGTTGCAAATAATATAATGAACACCTAATGCTTACGTGTCATTGTCACATCAATCTTCGTCCTATATTTTAACACAAGATAGTTTTAGATGGTTCCATGTCTACAACTAGGCCTGCTTGCTTCCCCGCAAACGACCAAGAAATCCAGACAAATCCTATCAAATACATACATATACATATATATATATATACATACATACACAGATGAGTCATTACTGCATAATGCTAGTCGAACAGGTATGCATATCTAGAGGCATTATTTTATGTGGGGGCTAACCATATATATATATATATCTATCTAGCACAACATAGTGCTCCCATAATCTGTAAGGTAAGGAGCGGCTACATGAAGAATTTAAGAATAGCACGCACAGAAAGCTAAGAATAAGCATACTGGACTGGACTATGGTTATTGTACAGAAAAGAACCCCACAAGATATTATCATATAGCAGGCCACAAATCAACGGTCCATGGAAATTTGATCTAAACTCTATGCTACTACAGCATATCTCACGGGATCAACACGATCGGGTAAATGGAAGTAAATATCTCTTACTCTCACTAAACCGATGCTGTCCGAGTGGGTAATTTATGAGAAACAAGCACGGCTTCATTACTGGCAGCTTTCTTTGCAGCAAGCTCTTCTAAGCGATTCCATATCGCCTCTCGTTTTGCTTTCAGCTCATTTTCCTTCAATTCGTCTTCCTGAAACTTGACTAAGCATTCCTTGAGCAGTTCAGGATCAAGATCATAAAATATCTTCCGAACATTCAAAGTCAAGCTATGGACAGCCTGGTTCCAATGACTCCTGGCATTCTTTTCCAGAGCTGGAAAGATTATGGGCAGTATGACCTTGCGATTTTCCTTGATCAAGTTTTCAATGTGATCATTATTCCACAAGAATAGCGCCCTTTCTGCTACCTAGGAAAGCAAATTGTTGCATTAGCGTACGTTTCAAGAACGTGAACATGTGGAAGGACATAAACAATCACAAATTTTCATATGACTCTTGGCCAGGTCTGCCTAGAAGTTCGGACAGTCAAATCTAAATGCAAAGCAAATAGTATAACTAAAACATAAACAGCACAACAACACGACAGAAACTATTTAAAATATCGATAGGTGTAATACGAGCAATCAATGAAAACAAGTAGTACCTGAAAATGTGAACTATTTAGACATCGAGCGATCTGGCGAAACAGGGGTACCATGCAGCGTTGAAACTCTGGAGGTTGAGTTGCTTCTAATACTTCTTCCAACTCACTAAGAAACATGACTTCTTTGGAACTATTTGTAACTGGCCAATACTTCAACAGACCTCTTATGACTGTATCAGCAAGCTTGCAATCTTTCTCTACAAATTGTGTGATGCAATATGACAACTGCTGGTGGTACATAGCTAGGCATTTTGGTTTATGCAAAGGGATCAATGCACGAACAAGGAATAACTTATGCTCTTCTTTCAACGGGAGAGCAAATCCATTGATGATACTTCCCAAAATTTCTAAAAGTTCAGCAACCCCATTATGCTTTTCAGTCTCAAATATAAATCGGTAAAATATGTTATTTATAGCCTTTCTAATAAATGGCCGGTGGACCATAAATTTCCCGTAGATACGGTGCAGAATTGTCTTCAAGTATTCTCTTTCTCTATGATCTTCGGAGTCGAACAGATCCAGCAGCTTCAGAATGAAAGAATGATCAATATATCTCTTAGCCAATTTTGCATCCATCTCAGGAGAGGCCACAAATCTGAGAAAGAATTCATACACAATTTGCAAATGAGGCCATGCAGGATCCATTGAAGGCTCCTCCTCTTCCAAATCAAAACCTTCCACAATTTTGCTCTCACGTGGTTGAGGACTCATTGTTCTAAATAAATTTAGAGAGACCATTTTTATAACATCCTGAATAACAGCTTCAGTAAATTTAGTATTAACAGAAGTTACATAATCCACAATCTCCAACAAAGTTTGTCGTTTGATCTCTTTCTCTTTAAGATGCTTTGTTGGGTCACTGAAGTCAAACAAAACGCAGCATAGATTTAGCTTCTTAACAAACAAATTCTGTTTTTCAGAGCTTGGAACTTCCCTAAACCCAGGCAATGCCTCATATGAAGAAGTGGGAATTCCATTAAGTTTCGTGTTCACACCTTTATTAGCCTTGCCACCATGATTTTGCCCCACATCAACTGGAAAAGATGAAACCAAATTTACTGCCTTGCCAGATGTTAAATCATTAATTCTCGAACTGGCAGAAGCATAAGCAGTAGAAGGGGCCATATGGCTTCCACCATGTTCCCTGCTCTCACCACTCTTCGATGATTTTCGGGGAAGCTTACTAAATATCTGCTTGATCATAATTCATACAAACCGATAAGGCGACACTCCCAAAAAAGTAAAACGCTTTTTCCTTAGCCTCCAGAAAGATGTTGAGAGCTATTACAAATCCATAAGTTGAGTAAACACTCTATTTTGCCCGGTGGGAGAAGCAATTATAGCAGGCACTTTTTCAGCATTAACAAAAATGAACAAGCCGAACCAAAGCTACCCTTTTCATCCAAACAGTAAGCAGATTCACTCCTACAACAGATCACACAAAATTGCTGTCCTGAACCCATTCGATTCAACAAAACACCAAGGAGCGAAATCGAACATATCATCTGCTATTCCAGAAAATCTAGTCGGTGTTTTTTAACCCCAGATTTGTATTCAAACACCCAAACGCCAGAAACACTCAATATCAAAGATCTGTAACCCCGTTCTGAATCCGATTCTAAAAACTCTCCAGTTCAAAAAGAAACAGAATTAAGTAACAATCAACACATAAACGTCCGAATTCTTCCGCCCAAATCACTCTTAGGGTTGAATTACAAATCGAAAAAAAAAAAAGAAAACAAAACACAAAAATAAAACGAAGGGTCAGGGTTTTGAATGTCGAAGAGAAACCAAAAAAAACTCCCGAAATACAGAAACAGAGACTCCCATAATCCAATAAAAGGAAGGATTGTGAGAAGAAAATGGCTTTCGTATTACTTACAGAGAGAGATTACTCGGTCTCTGCTTTCCCCTTCGTGGCTTCCTCTGTTGACTGCCATTTCGAATCAATAAATAAACCCCTTTTTATTTCTAAGTGATGATGGCCAATGGCAATGGGCCTCTCTCTAAATAAATTAAGAATTTGCTGTATATTCCCTTTTATAAGAAATTTATTTTCAAAATTTTTATTTACAAATAAAAATAATAAATTTTCATCCCTCAACTTTTAATTTCTCTATTTTGATTTTGATTTTTTTAATTCTTGTTAATGTAATTTAATATTCTAAAACGTTGAAAATCGTTGGTTCACATGACATTGTTGGCGGCCAGCATTTTTGTTTTCTTTACTTATTAATTTCCCCCACTTTTTCTGCAAAAATAAAACGGATCGAATTTCAACTTGTAATTATAAAATGCATTAATTAATAAACGTGTTGATTACTTACGGGTTGTCAACTTTGAACCAATTCAACCCACCAAAGAAGAATTCTTTTTATATATTTATTTATTTATATCGTCTGATAAAAAATAATATGCTTATAGCTTATTTGATACGTAGATATATATATAAAAAGAATTAAAAAGAGATAAAAACAAAAGCAATAATTAATATTAATATGATATGGTAATTGTCTTAAAGTAATGGCAGACAAAAACATGAATAAGAAATACAAGGTAACTGAAGCTGTGTGTGTTGTTGCCGTGAGAGTTGAAACCAAACTAGGATTGTGCACTTTTCCAAACTTTTTCAACTTATGGATTATTCTGCAAAAGCTTATGGAAAGGGCAAAAGGGGTTGAAAGTAAGAAACAAAAATATTGAAATTGCAGCTTAGCTTTCTGGATCTCAGTCAACTAGCCTTATTTGAAGGGTCTGTTTTTTTTTTTTTTTTTTTCTTTTTTACTTCTTTTAGTGCAACAGACAGGAAATATATGTCAATTACCATAAACGGACAAATGGGTTTTTGTGAGATTTCACCTCAATTGGAAAAAGGAACAAAGCATTCCTTGTATGAGTGAAACCTTTTTGTAGCAGATGCGTTTTAAAACTGTGAGACTGACGATGATACGTAATTGGCCAAAACAGACAATATCTACTGGCAGTGAACTTGAGCTGTTACAAATGGTATCAGAGCTAGACACCGAGAATGTACCAACGAGGACGTTGGGCCCCCAAGGGAGATGAATTGTGAGATCCTACATTGGTTAGAGAGAAAAACGAAACATTTTTTATAAGAGTGAAAATCTCTCCCTAATAATAAACGCATTCAAAGCCGTAAGGCTGACGACAACGACCAGGACTTAGGAAAAGAAGTAAGGGACGTAGGGGATAGGATCACGACATATTCTTTATTACTTTATCTTTATAAAAAAGAAGAGAGAAAATGACGGGTAGAGAAATCACTGAAGAAGGAACCAAATTAGGGGAGGGCTGCAAAGAAGGGTGAGGGGTACCATCCCTTTTGGCTTTCTTCCTTCCCCATGCATTTATGAATACGGGGATCTGGCTTCTATCTATGGGAGTCTTATGCCACGTGTCAACCGTGGAAGCGCCGGGCATCTCATTTGAAACCATTTTTTTAAGAATGTGAAAGCCTTGGATAATGAGTTTCAAATTTTATAAACCAACTTGTTTTTTGCTATAACACTCCATTAAGAACACCTCAACCACTAATACTATAAGTAGCATTTGACATTGATTATGGGATATCAAAATACTAGTTTTAGAAAATTAAAATCAAAATAACTATCCTTATAACACACACTTAAAAGACCTCATAATTTTGCCTTTAATTTGACCTAAATGATTGATCGTAAACAGCATTGACAAAAGGTTTAAATAATTTTATTTTCATTCATGAATAACTGCAATGAAATAAATAAATAACAAACCTACAAAGTATCCATCTTTATTTACTTGTACACCGGGAACTGGTCAACAACCAAATAAGAAATTCGAATTCAACTAAAATAGCTGTCGGTTCTGACTGATTATACGATGGATGGAACATGCCAGGAAATTTTTATGACTTCTTCATGAAAACTTATTTAAATGAAATACACTGGAAAAAAAAAAAATAATATTAGCCAATGAAATCTGACGGATACCATAAACATTTACACTTTAGATTTCACATTAGGGAAGTTTCAAAAGGCAGATGCAGCTAAAATCTTAACTTTGACCACGTGCTGCTGCTAAATTGATAAGAAACTGGAAACGGAAATTCTAATAAGAAAAACCTGTTGTTCGCTAGCAATCTGAAGGCTAAGGAAATGCCACAAATTAATTTTCCCCTGAAAAACGTAGTGGTTATTTAAGGGCAAAAATAAATAAATATGATCACGATTTTGGTACAAATATGTGTCCACGATAGAACAGGCAAAATCTCCGAACGCTGAGTGAACTTCTTTCTGTTGTGAAAAGAATGGGAAGAAGGAAAGAAGTTACCAAAATTCCTTCTACTTCACAAGCTATATTCAGCCTTGGAGTCGATAAAAGCTTGAATTGATGGTTCTCTCCCAAGAAAGTCGGATAGAACATCAATTGGTTCTTTTGCACCTCCCGGAACCAATACCTGCCAAATTAGATGGGTAAGAGTTCATTCAATCCCTTCTGGATACAATATACAGACCTTTAGGTTAGCGTGTTAGGCAATGAGGTGCTATTATGCTAGTCAGTACGAGTTAGTAATATGAGACAGTAAGAATATGTTGGGTTGTTAGAGAGAATTAGAGGTCAGCGACTTAAACAAAATCACAAAGGCGATGTCTCAGATATATGGAAGTTGCTCAAGACACGGGATGACCAGTGGACATTTGGCATGAAGAGATGAAAGTGACCCCAAAGTGGTGGTAATAGGCTTAGAGAATGTTGTGGATATGTACAAGATATAGTCTACTTTGAAAATATGATCAGCAGTGAAATTGTTCCCTTTTTTAGTTAAATTCGCCTCAAAATCTACATTTTAAATCTTTGCCAAGTACTCAAACCAGTATATTTTAGTGATGGAGGAATACCAGTACATTTTGGTGCCATGCATTACATAGTTTGTAATTGGAGTAGAAGAGGCCTCTTGGATTCCTTCCCTATTTTATAATCTTTTTTCTTATTTATACAAATATCAATGTAGCTCTGTCAAACAGAAGATTGAAACAAAACTCCTAGATCTTACTATGAATTTGGGAAGACGCAATAAAACAGGTATGTCAACCAAATTTGAATAGGATACCAATGAATGTGAGATACTCTAGTGACATTGCTTTTACGAAATTGAATTGAAATGGTGATAGAAAATTGGTCCAAATGACAATCAAAGTATGATGCATAATGCAAAATTTTTACCTTGTTTCTGAACTGTAAACCAATATGTTGGTTCAAAAGATCACCACGAAACTTTGAGACAAAAATATCAGCCGCGAAAACCTGCAAAAGTTAGCTTGCTGCTCATGTTTTATTAAACGAAGATAAGCAATGTCCATTACATAAGTGTTCATGAACATCCTATTCCCCCTTTCCATTTGAAATGATAGTTATTACGTCAGTGAATTAAAACATTAAAAAACTTAGAACATGCTAAGCACATATTTATGAGAAGTAAAGCAAATTCCAAAAATGATTCACGTGCTCGAAGGGTAATATATACCTCACTCCATACACGACTATAGCAGGCAGCTTCATAGCCAATAGCACTACATGGAAAGCATGAAGCAGGATTGCTGCCTTCAAGCATGGGCAAACCTAGCATTACCTGTGAAAATGCTGTTACATGAAAACCTAGCATGCAAAACTCAAGTTAATAAATAAGTACTTCAAAATATTACCTTTGAATGGAGATGCTTGAATAATTCAATGATGTCGACATTTTCAGCACAATGTATAATTTGATCAAAAAGACCTACATACAGAAATTTCCCGAGTTGGACAATGAAAGGAACACACACTTATCATAAATAGAGTGCAAGAAAAATGTGGCTGACATTTTGGAATGCAAATACAAAGATCTAATATCTTACTGGGGTTGCCCTTTAGGGGGTGGGAATGGATTTTGACACTTCGTGATACAATTCTCTCAAGTACTTCAACGTATTATATTTCCTCGTTTCTTTTACCAAGGTAGCTCAAAACTAGAAAGAAAAATAAGGAACTTCCTTTTCAAAGGAAATAGTGAGGGGAAATTGAGGCATTTGATCGGTTGGCATATTGTGATAAGACCAGACCTCTTGAATGTGGAAGATTGAGTATTGGTAATTCAAATACAGAATGTAGCCTTATCAACAAAATGGTTCTTGAGAAGTCCAATAGAAACAAATGAGTTGTGCCACCAGGTAATGATTTATTCATGAAAAGGATGAGTATGGATGGACTATGAAAAATAATAAATCAGGCAGCAAGATACACTTAAGGAACATATCAAAATTTTGGGGTCAAGCAGAATTTAATAACCATTAGAGTTAGAAATGGGAGAAAGCGAAGTCTTCCTCTGGAATGACACTTGGATTTGAAAACATCTTTTGTTAAGATTTTCACAGAGAAATGATTCGGCATTATGTTTGAGACAAGAAACCCCACTCTTGAAATGTTGTCTCTAGAAGAAATTTACACGGGGAGAAAATGGAAGAGTTGAACACTTTACTAGTAGACATGGAAATTGGATCCTTCAGGTTGCTCCTCTATGAAGTCCCTAAGTAAAGAAATAGTATCATTCCCTTTGAGCTCATAAGACTAAGAGCTCTTGAGAGGACTATGGAAAAAAAAAGTCCAAAGAAAGCAAACGTTTTGGATTGGGTTCTTAATTGGGGTTGAGTTAATATGGCCAATAGAGTACAGACCGTGACCTAATAATGTTCCAAGTCTTAACTGTTGTGTGCCAATTGTTGAGGCAGGGGCGCCAATCTTTTTGCGTTTTGGTTGTCCTTGTGCTTTTGATTCATCTCCAAAGGAAAATATTAGTTAATTGGGGTTGAGTTACTTGGCGTTTTGGTTGTCCTTGTGCTCTTTTTGTACTTGTTCTCCTAATCTAATGATAATTGGTATGCATTTATGTAAACCCCATTGGAGGTGCCACAGGTCTATGACTGTAACTTTTCAATCATTCAATGAAAAGACTTCTTGCTTCACCCACAAAAAAAAAAGGAAAAAGAAGAAGGTAGGCACAGTAAAAGAAATGACATACAATAAAGAACTTCTTGCTTCAATTTCAGCGCAGAAAAAGAATGTCGCCATTTTTTCAGTGATTCACATACTTCATCCTTGATAGGCACTGTAATATCCTAAACATTGCACAAACATAAATTATAACTTCACACTCACAATAACAAATGCTGTGAAAACTTAACTCGGGTAAAATATGACCATCACAAATTTAAAGTTTTAAGCCAAATACTTTTGATCAGTATGAAACTTAGACAACTTTAGAGCTGAATATGTCGAGATGCACCAGATTTTCAAACAATGAGACCTCAAAAAGGCGATAATCTATATGTATTACCTGATGGAAACCAGATAACAACTTCAAAGAAACACTTTCATAGCACCTATAAAATAAAAACGAGCATTAACAGGTGGATCCAGTCTTTGAATCAAACTTAGGAATATTGCAACTGATGGGCTACCAGTTTTCTAGAATCTGAGCAGGAATCTCAACAAAGTCAGAATCAACACGCAGCCCTGAGATCCTAGTAAATGATGCATGATTGCAAATATGTTGAACCTAAAATTCCATTCAAGAAGTTGAAGAAAATACATTAAAATCACATAAATACGACATGCTTATAGTTTAGAATATTGTACATTTTACCTTTGGTGTTAGTTTTCTACTAATACTAACAGCAAGACCAATTGTAGCATGGCAATATTGCATGTAGATTAATATAAAAGGATGATTGGATAAGCACTAAAATTCTGAACTAGATTGTTAAGGTAGTTTATCTCAAAGCCACACAAGACCCTAGTGGTCATCATTTAGTTTGGACGTCAACATGCCTCCAGAAGCAGACGTTATAACTTCCATCACAAGATTTTGCTCACCACATTTATGATAATGTTTTGTCCGTCTAAGATGTAGGAGGAATTGAGAAGGAGATCTTGTTCCAGTAAGGGACATGGCCAAGGCCAATGCCCACAATACATATTTATCACGAATCAGATACTAGAACTGAAGGAACTTGCCTCAGTTATCCTAATTCTGACCATCACAATGAATTACCATCTTCTAAGTTCTAATTGTTAGATCAAATCTGTGTTGGTCTGAAAGCAAGTACACTAAATATATACCACATGGCCAAACTCGTGGAAAAGATTAACCACTTCAGTGAATCGCATCAACCCAGCATGACCATCAACATCCTTCTGTAATTGAGATATCAATAATGCCACCGGTATCTACTCAAAGAAAAGAAAAGATAATTTATGAGGATACAACTTGTATATAGCGTTATCATATAAAAAAACAATACATCACAACTTCTTGTTCCAAGTACAATTTTTGTAACGATCCAAGCTCTAAGTAAGATTGATTTACTTTTCTCCCTCAATTATTGCATTATTTTTCCATTTAAATTATGGATTTAATCCTCATTTGGGGTGTTTATGGTCCATTGAGTTTAATTGGGCTCGTAAGACTTTTTAAAGTTAATTTTGTTACCACAACATGCATGTAATAGCAATCCCAGCCTAGAAGTTGAATCGTTATAATTTTCTTCATGCATGTTGCACGTGCATAAGGTCATCATGATTATAATGAGATTATCTAATAAACAATAATAATATTCTAGATATATGAACACGTGTATCAAGCAAGTGACGATAAACATTGGGTTTCTAGAATATTTCTTCATTGTCAATGACAAATGGTTACCAGGCAGGGAAAAAGGGAAACGTACTGATGATGCAGATGCAGATCAGATTCTGGTCATTAAGTTACAATTCAATGAGGCATCTAGTTGCTATTTTTTATCATTTATATTTTAATCGTGTTTCCATTACAAATTTCGTATTCATATAATGAAGTAGGGTAAAAAAAGTCGAATTGAGATTATTTTTCCTTCTGATAAGAAACAGAAAATGAAATTGAGCTTGTCAAATGCGCCTGTTTGAGAAAGTGAATGCTATCAAATGAAACCAAGTATTATTATCCATAGAATGCCCACATAAAATGAATAAATAAATAACAAAAAGGGGAGAACCACAACTATTCAGCAATAATTTTTTAAATATACAACAAATATTACCTGCCGAGTACCATTGGATAGCAATGCACTGTTTTGAAGGGCCACCACACATGTGTGAATGTACTTTCCCTCCCTAACCAAGTATAAAACATAATTTCACCCACCGATGACAAAATAATGTCAAGTTCAATTTTATAAAAGGTTTGAAGTCCAGATCAAACCTTGTGTAAAGATCAAGGAAGAAGTAACCAATTAGTTCACCAGAGTTGAGATCAAAAACTGAGTATAACTTAACATCATCATGCCAAACCTCGGCATCTATCACTTCTTCAAACCTTAAACCTGGTGAAGAAAATATTCAAATACGAAATTGCAATTGTAGCACTAAATTTTAAAGGCAAGAACACCAAAATCATGAGTAAAGGTGGAAGGATCATGCCCTCCAAAATTTTTGTAAGGAAACGATTACCAAAAAGGTCTTGCATTATCTTGAAGATCCCAGATAAAACCAAAGAGACTGGAAAGTATTGCTTCAGAGTCACAAAGTCTAGGTTGAATTCTTGATCTTCTACCTTCTTGACATAATATAATAAATCCTCGATGCCAAACGGACTCTCTCCTTCCTCTTGCTTCTGATGTCTCGTAAGTCATAAGACCCAAATAAGTTCCATGAAACCATGTTATCACAAACATTTAACTGATTGAGTTAACCTTTAGGTCCTTCAAGCTGGCCAGTTCCTTGGCAGCCACATCTGTTAAACTGTCAGAGATGCTCTCCAAGAATTCAAATACCTGGAAAAACATTCAAGTAATTACCCACCTAAAAATTGACATTAAGTTGAGAATTAACGAAACCAATTGGTGATTCTTCTTTTATGCTAAGGTTCAACCAATGCCTAGCAGAACCTTGTTCCAAATTTTTGGAATACGCACGTACAAGTCAAGGCTTTGATGTACATTCAGAGCTTCAATAAGCATCCATTTCTTATTTGTAAGTTGTAACTAATTGCTTGATAGTTTCTAAATTAGTGTTATTGGTATTGGCTTAGCATTTTGGGCCGGTAATCTAAACTTGAAAAATGGTTTCAAGGTTATTAATTGGGACCAACAGATACAAGGGTGCGGTAGGTTTTATATACAATTTTTTCCATTTAGTAAGATAACCCTTCTTTATGGTTTACACCATAATAGGAAAAATGGCACAAAGAAATAGAAGTACGGAATTAAACACAAATTAACCACTCCAACTATCCTCACCACCACTGTTACCCTAAATAGGTCTTAAGAAACTTGATACAATTCCATTCGTGCCAAAAACACAAGACCCTCGTGTTTATAATTCATAAATCCATAGGAAAAAAATACTTGGGTTTCACACATCATTTAAGAGATAGAGAATAAGAAAGGCTTTTGCATTTCGATTTTAAATGCATCATTATAAGAAAATAAGAAAGAACAATCACATTCTATCTATATCTAATACTAGACTCTTAAGCATAAGGTTGTATAAAAGGGCAACATCACTCAACTAGTTAAAAGCATTATAATCTCAACCAAAAAGTCAGAAGTTTAACTCTCCACCCACACCCACGTATGGATGAATAAAATAAATAAATAAAACTAAACATGCAATGTCACCAAACCTATAGAATTTTATTGGGTGATTGGCGTGCCTTAATTTTATGCTGGTACTAAAAAATGCCCAAAAATGAATTGAATTGAAAAATAGTTCACATCAAATACTAACAAATAAAATGAAGAATCAATAATATACTTACAAATAAAGCATTCCAATGAATTGCAAGAAAAATATAATCATAATTTTATTTTCAAATAAAGCCAAAAATTAAAACCTAAAAGTGAAGTGTGTCATGAAAAACCATTCTTTTAATCCCATCTTAATTTTCTATTTTCTAAAAAGTCATAATGATATTTGATAAACGATGAGAACTAGCATTTCTGAACAACCTTAGCGGATGACCTTGCCATTCTATAATGAACAGCATAGTCTGCGTAGTTTGAATAGCCTTGTAAGCGAGCAAATTTGTGGCGCAGATGAACCTGAAAATTTAGAAAGAATGTTAAACAGCAACTTTCAAGAAACTTTCACGTAAGCAAGCATTGTTCTTCAACAGTTGACACTCGGTCATCATATTCAAGTTATGCATTAGAAACATTGTGGAGGCATTTGAAATGTCAACAACTTTTCATGGAACGTCAATTACCACATAGAACCGAGTCATGTTAATTTACATTATCTAAAGTTATCAATTTTCCATCTTTTAACAATATTTACTTCTTTCATATTGATCATATCTCTAAAACCAGCGTGAAAAATTTTAGGAAATAGGAATATTATTATTCATAAACATGGTCTTTAGAAACAGGAAATTTCATTTGTCAAAGTAGATTATGGACCACCAAATCAAAGCTTGCTCAGTAAAACCATTTTTAGAAGAAAAAAAATGGATAAAGAAATCATGATAGCTAGCCCACTGATCTATGCATGTAATAAGTTAATAGAAAGGATAAGGTGCAAAGTTCAGTTTTTAATATTTCATAAAGAAGAGATTATCCATATAAAACCATTTTAAGAAAGAACTGGATGAGAAATTAAAATGGCGGCTTCCCTAATGATCTATATACAAATTACGTTAATGGATCATGCAAAGCTCAGAACCAAGTAATCTATTTGAACTTTAAATTAGTTCATAAAGAAGAGATAATCAAGTTAATTACCAAATTTTCTAGAATAGAAAGATTCACTTCTCCGCACCTCTTTCCATATGTCATTGCCACCATCCTTCTTGTCGTGCCTACCTTAAAACAGGCAGTGTTACTATTGTCAGTACTCAGTACATATTCCTCCTCTGAATCTATGATAAGAACTTCACAAATAGCACCCAACTCAAAAACTTCTGGTTAGTTTGTATGCAGAAAGTTGCATAATATCACATTCAATTAGAGATAGAAGCTTGCCCTAGGTTTTCTATTTGAGCTCTGGAATTATCATAACTTTCAATATCTCATGCCAAATGCCCAAAAGTAATATTTAAATATCTAGGCTAACTGTTTTCAAAGAACTCCAACATCATGTTTGCTAAAGGACTAAAGTTTCTAGACTTCACTGCTTCCTTCCATTAAAAGTTAACGTATTGATAGTATGCATTAAGTTCTGAAATGTTACATGGATATTGACTTTATGGATTAAGAATAGATGCAAGAAAAGAAAAAATACCGAGATAGAAGTCATTACAGAATAAAAATAAAATACCCTGCAGGAAAGATTTGATAGAGGAACTGAATTTGGGAAAAAAAAAAAAAACAAACAAACAAGAAATAAACAGGTTTGAGTCAAAATTTGACATAGTTGGACAGTATTCCAAAAAGCTTTTGGTTCAGAAGAGAATACCTTGCAATGTTCTAATATTGCCGCAGTGTGATGGCTTCGCATGGTCACCTTAAACTGACCATTTTCATTTTTATCAAGACTCTGCATGGAGAAGAGATGATAGCGAGTGCATTAGTCAATGGTAAGCGGGAATAAATCGATAAAAAAAAATTGGTAAGTTTTTTTTAAAAAAATTCAACAAGATTGAGGTGGGAACTTCGAACCTTTAACCATTTAACCAGTTGCCAATAAGAAACAATTTTATTGATCAATCAAAAAGATCTTTTCCAATAGATTAAAGTAGTTCCAAAGTAGATTTCATATTAATAAAGGTTAAATCATAGGCCCACCACAACTCAGAGTGAATAGACATTCTTCAAATTTTGGTTACGCTACTAATCTACAGGAATCTTTATTTGTAACTTCTATACACTTTATTGCTAGTATCGTCCTTGTTAAATTTTCATTTGACATGTCATGGATTTGACATCATAAAGGGTAAGTATTTCCATTAGATCATTAAGAAAATCGACAAAATACATAATATATATACATAAACACACACACATATCAACAAAAAATCACTAATGTGAACATGATATGGACCAATATTAATATAAGAAATTTAACTTATTTAAAAAATGTAAGATGATTATTTGGTTAATTTAAATATTTTTTATGATTTTCTCCTAAATATCCATCAATATCAACATTTTATTGATTTTTATCTACATTTTCATAAAATTGAGACATCTACATTTTCTTCGACGTCAATATTTAAAACCTTAGCTTATAACCACTCAACTAAGCAAAAATGTTCCTGATGAAGCTAGTTGAATAATAAAGCATATAATTAGCTTCAACCATCCAGTCACCCTCGGATCTACAAGTACAACAGTCCAGAAGACTTCAAACAAAATTACGAATAATCAAATTATTTTAAGCTATGATGAGGAAAAAACTTTTCAAAGA